AACCACCTGCAATCGTATTGATTACTCCCCGTAGGAGAGCTGACCCTGTTTCCTGGCTTACCTCGGCTTGCACTGCTCCGCCGGCATTTTGTTGGGAGCCAGAGGGTTGGTCCGTGCGAGCTCTTGCGCCACGACCTCTACCTCGTCCTCGTCCACCATGGCCTCCTCGATGACCCTGCTATCGCTAGATATATTGGTTGAGGTGGTCTGCCTGGATGAGCTCTTCAATACGGTCTCGGAGTGTGCGGCACTCCTCAGTGGTGTGACCGTGATTCCTATGGTACCGACAGTGCTTGGATTTGTCGGCACTGTTAGGGGTGTGACCTGGCGGGGGCAGGGTGAGCAGGTTGCTGTTACTGGCCTCCTCCAGGATATGTACTCGGGGCGTGTTCAGGGGAGTATAGAAGTTGTATCTCCCCCCTCTATCTGCTCTAGTCGACTTCTTAAACTGGCTGTCATTGTTGACCTTGATCTTGTCCTTGTGACCCTGTGCTGGATTCATTAGTCCTTTGCCGTGGACCTGGTCACGAAAGGCGGAGTGTTCCTCCATCTGGATGTAGCCTGCAGCGCGGGCGCAGAGCTCGTCCATGTCGCGAGGGGCCTCAAGGCATAGGCTGTCGACGAATGGCCCAGGCTTGAGTGCCATGAGCATGGCATGCAGGGCGACCTCGAGGTTCAGATTTCTGATCTTAACCGAGGTGGCGGCAAATCACTCCATGAATGCCCTAAGTGGCTCGTCGTCGTTCTGTCTGAGACTGGCCAGGGCGGCTGAAGTGATGTGGTGAGGCCGGCTCGTTGCATATTGCGCTGTGAATCGCCTGACCAGAATGCTGAAACTGTCGATTGACTCAGCGGGAAGTTGGGTGTACCAGTTGAGCGCGACCCCTTTGAGCGAGGTCGAAAAAACCCTACACAAAATAGAATCATTGTTAGTGTAGAGGTTTACCTATGTCGTATACAGGTCGATGTGCTCATCGAGGTCCGTCGTGCCATCATAGCGATTGAGGTGGAGAGGTTTCCATCCTTGAGGGAGTGGTGTCTCCATGATGCCATCCACAAAGGGATGACGGCGGAAGGTTGCTTGACCCCCCGTGACATGAGTAGGATCGGTTACACCAGCACAGGAGAAGTAGTCAACCTTCTCTTCAACTCCTCAAAACTCCGTTCACAGGCGTCTATTCAGATGAACGACTGCTCCTTCCTCGTTAGTTGGGTCAGAGGCGCTACTATCTTAGAGAAACCTTCAATGGACCTTCAATAGTAACCCACTAAACCCACAAAGCTTCGAATATCTGTGACAGTCCTTAGACGCTCCCATTGTAACACCGACTCCACCTTAGCCGGATCAACAGCAATCCCCTCAACTGAAATTACGTGGCCCAAGAACTTCACTTCATCCAACCAGAACTCACATTTTGAAAGCTTAGCATACAGTTTCTTCGCCTTCAAAATCTCCAGCACCAACCTCAAGTGCTCTCCATGCTCCTCCGGGGTCCTTGAATAAATAAGGATGTCGTCAATGAACACCACCACAAATTTATCCAAGAAAGGCCTGAAGATCATGTTCATATAATCCATGAACACTGCAGGGGCGTTGGTCACACCAAACGACATCATGACATACTCATAGTGATAGCCTGACCTCAAGTCAATCTTCGAGAAAACAGATGCTCCCCTAAGCTGATCCATTAAGTCATCTATCCAGGGCAGTGGATATCTGTTCTTAATGGTCACCTTATTCACCTGCCGGT